GAAAAAAAAAAAGAGAAAAAAGAAAAAAAAAAAAAAACTGCCTCAGGCCGAGCTCCAGAGGCATGCAGCTGATGCTGATGTCGATTAGAGGATCCCGTAATGGTGGGGTCTTGCTGACGGTGGCGGCGGCGGCGCTGTACGGATTATACTGCCGGCGGTGGAGCTGACGTATAAGAAGGCGAAGCAGGCGGTGTCGTATACGCTGGTTTTGGAGATGCAGTTGGTTATGTGCGTCTTTGCGACGTCGTTTTGCACCGTTGGGATGCTCGTCAACAATGATTTCCAGGTGGCGTTTTCTTAATTTATGAATATTTATTTCACCTGATTTTATTATATTCTTTATAAATAGGCCAAATTGCACTTTACTCCCTAAAAATGCCTTTTTTGCACTTTCTCACCTCAATATAGAAAAAACGAGACTGCCCCCTTCGAAATATACAACTCAGTCCCAAATGTGTATTTTCGGCTTAATTCTTGTCGGATTGAAGGTTAATTTCGTCTTTTAAAGCTTTAGGTGTCATTTAACCTTTTTTCACCCTACATTACAATCACTACGAAAAACAAAGAACAAATTTTGTCGAATTTGAAAGAAAATTTTGTCTAATTTGGAAGTGAATTTCATCAAATTGTGAAGAGAATTTTGTTAATTTGTGAACACTAAGTACCTTTGAAAGGAGGATTTTAAAGCAGAAGATGTAAAATGACATATACACCCCTCATTCGGTGAGAATTAGACCGAAAAAATACATTTTGAGACAAAGTCCACTGAGTTGCATATTTCGAAATGGGACAGTCTCATTTTTGTATTTTAAGGGGGAAAGTGCAAAACATGCACTTTTAAGGGAGTGAAGTACAATTTACCCTTAAAAATACATATTTAATTTATCATGACACGCCGGCGTTTCTAATTTGAAATAGAAACAAATAAAATATTAAATTACATACAAGACCGGCATCCTATTTTTCTAGCATATAATATGAGCTATTGTGACAATATTAAAACCTAGGGTAAAATTACCGAAAAATCCCTCATATTTAGATAATTACAATCACGTCCTTCAACTTTGTTGCGATATAACTATCAATATATCTAAATAAAAAAAAGTTGTTTAATTTGCAGGCAATTGCAAGGGAAGCAAGAACATATGAACTTGGGGAGACAAAATACTATATAGTTGTTGTGTGGAGTGCCATTGTTTGGCAATGTTTTTTCTTGGGAGCCATCGGAGTTATATTCTATTCATCGTCACTTCTATCGGGCATCGTTATTACAGTTTTACTACCGGCAACCGAAATATTAGCCATTATTTTCTACCACGAGAAATTTCAAGCTGAAAAGGGTCTCTCTCTTTTCTTATCTCTTTGGGGATTTATATCCTACTTTTATGGCGAGATGAAAAAGAACAAGAGCAAGAACAACATCGATCAAAGTAACGACCAGACTCAGGCTACAGAAACCGAGTTGACTCATCGAGTCGTTATAAATCCTTGATATATATATATATATATATATATATATATATATATATATATATATATATATATATATATATATATATATATATATATATATATATATATATATATATATATATATATAAACTTTGATTTTGTTTTTTCACTCCCCCTTGATATATATGTTGGCATTTAATAGGAATTTTGTTTTTTTCGTGGTAATAATTATAAGGTTCAATCGATTACATTTTGTATTCGAAGCCTTATAAGCGAATTTTATTTTAGAAAACATTCTTGTGCAATTGAACAACACAATAACAATCATAAGTATTTCATAATGTAATTTTATAAATTTCAATGTTTTTTATAGGTAGGTTAAATGTACTTATAATCAGATATGAATATATAGATATGTTTTTCTTTCATAATGTAGGACAATTTTCAATATTTAGAATCCTAAAAAGTTGACATATTTAATACGTATCCATATTATTAGACTTCTCAACAATAATTTTTTCTTTTAAATAAATAAATCAGTACGTCTATTTTAGTGTTGAATGAGTTATGAGACATACTGACTCGTCAACATCATTTTAAATTGCCAACCCTCATTACGAGAGTTGGTACATAGCCCGTATCAACAAGGTAAAAGTTTAGGGTTTGAGTCCTTCTTCTCCTACTTTTCCTCGTAATGGACTTAAATTTATTATAAATTAAAAAAAAACATCATTTTAAATCGATAGAATTTAGTGCTAATGAATTATCAATGAAAATAATTTATCGTTATAACATTAATTAAGAAATAATACTACAATTTACAAGTAAAATTAGTTTTTTATACGTTTTAATAGAAAGAACCAATTGGATGCGGTTTTGGTGCACATGCACAACAACTTTTTTAATAAGCGTGCTCCATTTATTAACTTATCAATTAGCGATTTTTTCCTTGGCGAGTGTCTAAAGAGTTAAATATGGATCACACACGATTAATTAGTAGGGCAAATTACGCCAACCCCTGAGTTATGGTCAAATTACAAAAAATTTTCTCTTATTTGGGTAATTACAGTCACCCTCTCAACTATGTAATATCTTACGAAAAAACTCTTTCATAGGTAAATTTAGGGATGTTAATTCGGTAAAACCGAAGTGAAATTTCAGTACGCCAACATTTCATACCGTTTACCGAACTAAGGCCCCGTTTGGTTGACAAGATAAGATTAGCCAAGATAAGATTAAATAATCTAATGAGACCCAATTATTTTATTGGAGCTTGAAAGGTCCAACAAAAAAAACTCATTAAGAGGCAAGATAAGCCAAGATAAGGCAAGATAAGCCATGATTATTTAATTTTGGCGGGTCGACCCGGCAAGTTATTGAGGATACCAAACATCAAATTAAGTCCAACTATTTAGTTAATCATGGTTTATCTTGGCAACCAAACGGGGCCTAAATATACGATTTAGTTTGATAAATAACCGAATTACATAAATTTTACGTAAAAATATTTAAAAGGATGGGATGACTGTAATTACCCAAACAAGAGGGGGTTTTCGTAATTTGGTCATACCTCAGGGGGTGGCCGTAATTTACCCTTAATTAGTATACTAAAATATAAAGGGTAAATTACTCTCACACTCATGAGGTATGCTAAAATAACTTTAAGGTCTTTGTGGTATCGACAATTACACTTACCCACCCAAGACATAGTTATAAACTCTAATGGGATAATGCATTGGATACGTTATTCCGATAGAGTTCTCACGGACTATTAATTTCAGGAACTAGTGGAGACAACAACGAGCTATGCGTGATTTATGAAATGTTGGGGGAGCCATGACTCCCCCTAATTCTATGTTGTCTCCACCGCTAGCTAAAAGTAATAGTCTGTTAGAACTCTATCGGAATAACGTACCCAATGCATTATCCCATTAGAGTTCCTAACTATATTTCAGGGGGTGAGTGTAATTATCGATACCACAAGGACCTTAAAGTTATTTAAGCATATCTCAGGGGTGTTGGTGTAATTTACCCAAATATAAACTACCAACCGGGTAAATCACCTGAGGTAAGGATAAATAACGAAAAAAATCCTCTTATTTCTGTAATTAAAACCGCCACTTAAGGTATTCTTCGTCTTACATTTTCCCCTTACGGAGTTAACCCTAATGGAATCTTTCATATTCCAAGGAATATTCGTTCAATATTTCCAATCTTAGCCTTATATTTATTTGCAGTTAGACGTAGGGTTTGAATGCTAATTTTTGTTTCTTTCATTGTATTGTAAACATATGTGTAAATTGGTATTTTCATTATATGATTTTTCTTTTTTCTTTTTAATTAATTTTTTTGAAGTAAAGGTCAAGTTAGACAATTCATATTTTCTGTTAGGGGTTTGAAGTTGTCATTAAATCTAGGATTGTGAATGTAATTACAAAAATATAAAGAATTTTCTTTTTCGCAATTTAACCATATCTAATGGTTACCATAATTTTTCTTTAGACTGCCCCATCTACAATAAAGACACAAATTTCTAAGAAAAATATGACACATGAAAAATTGATTTTAAATTATTAATTTCCAACTGACTCGCATCAATTATTTCCGAATTGATCTGTAGATATTAGTACAAACAAGTTCAATTCTATGATGGCCCCTATGTTAGGTAAAAGCTTTTAATTGGTGCATTTAAGAAAAAAATGAATTTTGTATGCCTATAAATCTAAATACATAATTGGGTAAAGAGCACTTAATATTGAAGATATTAATATTAAATGATACATTTCACTAATAACTTAAGTTTTTGGTTGAGATGGTCATTCAACACGGTATCAAAGTCAGGCCAAGTGAAAGGTTCTGAGTTCGAATCCCACATCCACCCATTTAAAAATATTTCAAGTGCGCTTCAAATTTAATTCGCGGATAATGCAATTGCTATGATAGAAGGGCTATCTATATATATCTCTTTGTTAATTCAGAATTAAATATCTCAAGATTTAAATCGAACTGAGTGATTAATTAACCAGTGAAACTCTAAATTAAAATCCGGATAAATTAATCATAGGATAATCACAAATTCGTATCAAATGATTGATTAGCTTTTCTTTTGCGTCGTCTATTTATAAAAAGTCCAGTCTCCGTTCATACCATTATAGTAAATAGATGGAAATTCAAACCACCGCCGCCGCCATGAAAAGGGTTTTGTTGATAATCAACTGTATCATACTCGCCGTCGGAAACTGCGGCGGCCCTTTGATCATGCGCCTCTACTTCGTCCACGGCGGCAAGAGGATCTGGTTTTCCAGCTGGCTCGAAACCGGAGGTTGGCCCATACTCCTCGTCCCCCTCCTCGTGTCCTACAACCGCCGCCGCCGCACCGCCGCCTCCGGCAAGGCGGAGCTCTACCTCATGAAGCCACGAGTCTTCCTGGCGGCGGCGGTGATCGGAGTACTGACGGGTTTTGACGACTACCTGTACGCGTACGGAGTGGCCAAGCTCCCGGTGTCCACCTCCGCCCTCATCATCGCCTCCCAGCTGGCTTTCACGGCGGCGTTCGCCTTTCTTATGGTGAAGCAAGAGTTCACGGCGTACTCCGTTAACTCGGTGGTTCTGTTAACTTTGGGGGCGGTGGTTCTGGGGCTCCACACGAACGGAGACAGGCCGGAGGGGGAGTCGAGTAAGGAGTACATGGTGGGGTTCTTCCTGACAGTGGCGGCGGCGGCGCTGTGCGGATTTATACTGCCGGCGGTGGAGCTGACGTATAAGAAGGCGAAGCAGGCGGTGTCGTATACGCTGGTTTTGGAGATGCAGTTGGTTATGTGCGTCTTTGCGACGTCGTTTTGCACCCTTGGGATGCTCGTCAACAATGATTTCCAGGTGTCGTTTTCTTCATTTATCAATATTTATTTCACCTGATTTTATTATATTCTTTATAAATTTTATCCCCTAAAAAGTCATTTAATCTTTTTTTCACCCTACATTACAATGATTAAGAAAAATAAAGAACAAATTTTGTCGAATTTGGAAGAAAATTTAATCTAATTTGGAAGCGAAGTTCATCAATTTTGGAAGAGAATTTTTTTTAATTTGGGAACCCTAACTATCTTTGAAAAGAGGATTCTCAAGCAGAAGATGTAAATGACATATGCAGCCCTCATTTGCTGAGAATTAGACCGAAAATACATTTCGCCAAAGTGAACCGAGTTGCGTATTTTGAAGGGCGACACTCTCATTTTTGTATTTTGAAGGGGGAAAGTGCAAAACATGCATTTTTTAAGGGGTGAAGTGTACTTTTCCCTTATAAATACATATTTAATTTATCATGACATGTCCTCGATTCTAATTGAAATAGAAACAAATACAATATTAAATTACATACAAGACCGGCATCCTATTTTTCGAACATATAATATGAGCTATTGTGACAATATTAAAACCTAGCGTAAAATTATCGAAAAATCATTTAGGTAAGATTAAATTATCGAAAAATGCCTCATGTTTGGATAATTATAACCACACCCCTCAACTTTGTTCGAATATAACTATCAATATATCTAAAGGAAAGAAAGTTGTTTAATTTGCAGGCAATTGCAAGGGAAGCACGAGCATATGAACTTGGGGAGACAAAATACTATATAGTTGTATTGTGGAGTGCCATTGTTTGGCAATGCTTTTTCTTGGGAGCCATTGGAGTTATATTCTATTCATCGTCACTTCTATCGGGCATCGTTATTACAGTTTTACTACCGGCAACCGAAATATTAGCCATTATTTTCTACCACGAGAAATTTCAAGCTGAAAAGGGTCTCTCTCTTTTCTTATCTCTTTGGGGATTTATATCTTACTTTTATGGCGAAATGAAAAAGGACAAGAACAAGAACAAGAACAACATCGATCAAAGTAACGACCAGACTCAGGCTACAGAAACCGAGTTGACTCATCGGGTCTGTTATAAATCCTTGATAATATATATATATATATAT